TACTGGGAATCCCCTGACTGTCCCGTGGTTAAGTCTCTGTGCTCCACTGCAGGGGGCACAGGTTCAGTCCTTGGTCAGGAAAGTAAGATCCCGCATACTGTCTGGCATGACCAGGAAATAAAAAATAAATTAAAGTAAAGAACTGGATATTATTTTTAAAAGTTGCTGATTCCTGTTCATTCCATTGATTGGATGTACCACTGGTTGATGGATATTTGGGTGGTTTCAGATTTGGGGCTTTCATTAAAAAAGCTACTATGAATATTCTTTTATCTGTATCTTTTGACTGACGTATTGATAGCTCAGTTGGTAAAGAATCCACCTGCAATGCAGGAGACCCCGGTTCAACTCCCTGGTCGGGAAGATCCACTGGAGAAGGGATAGGCCACCCACTCCTGTATTCTTGGGCTTCCCTTGTGGTTCAGCTGGTAAAGAATCTGCCCACAATGCAGGAGACCTGGGTTCAATCCCTGGGATGGGAAGATCCCCTGGCGAAGGGAAAGGCTACCCACTCCAATATTCTGGCCTGGAGAATTCAGTCCATGGAGTCGCAAAGAGTCAGACATGACTGAGTGGCTTTCACTTTCACATTCATGGATATCTCCTGAATATCTATAGATAGATAGGTTTATATAATTTTGCATTAATTAGTTAATTACTCTACGAGTAGAATTGTTGCATCCTAAGTTAGGCATATTTCGGCTTTAACTGCTAAAAGCCTCACAGAGTAGTTACAATGATGTATCCTCCTTCGTGCAGTGTATGAGAGCCTATAGTCTCCTCCTTCATAGTTTCTGATATTAGCCATTCTGGTGTTAGCATAGGTGTCACATATTGTGATTTTAGTTTATATTTCCCTATTGACTAATGATGTTGAGTACCATTTTCATATCCTTCTTGGCCACTCAGATACTCTTTCTGTGCCGGAAGTCGTGCACCTGCAGGAGCTGGCATGGTTTGGACTTCCCCCGGCCCCGAGGGACTGAGCTAGCAGTGTTTCTTGCAGGCCTGTCCAGGTGTGGGGCAATAGGAGAGGAGAGGGGAAAGGGGCTTGAGAGCTCTTAGCCATCAACCATCAGGGATGAAACTGTGTTCTTTATTACAGTATTACTCAGGTCTGTGGAGATGCTGCTGGTGCTGCTAAGTCGCTTCAGTCGTGTCCAACTTTGTGCGACCCCGTAGACAGCAGCCCACCAGGCTCCCCCGTCCCTGGGATTCTCCAGGCAAGAACACTGGAGTGGGTTGCCATTTCCTTCTCCAGTGCATGCATGCATGCTAAGTCACTTCAGTCGTATCTGACTCTGTGCAACCCTATGGACAGCAGCCCACCAGGCTCCTCTGTCCACGCAATTCTCTAGGCAAGAATACTGGAGTGGGTTGCCATTTCCTTCTCCAACTATGGTGACGAGGAGATAATAAATCTGAAACAGCCGATACTTAACTTGTTGCCTGCACCTGGAAAACAAGGTAAATAAGTATGAAAATGAGACACTGATTATCTTTAACTCCTTGGGCTGGGCCAGGAGACTAGCCTTTACGTATGATATGTCCTACTTGGCTGAGCTGTGACTGTTTTACAAGTGAGAACTAGTGATAGAATTTCAGAAAAGAAGACAGTGTTGACACAGTTCTTTTATGCATGGTAGTAAACTAAGTATGGCTTCTTGACAACTCAAATAGTAATGCACCTAAAGAGTGTGTCTTATGTAAATTATTTCTTCTCAATTCTCACAGAGGCTACAGAATAGAGAGGGAAGGCATCTTACAAGTAATGTAACTGTTAAATAGCTTGCCCATAGTTACTGCTTTCTGGAGCAGTAATTTCAGACAACGATTTTGGAATACAGGGTCGAAACGTGTTTAAACATTTTAATAATGAGTTAATTCCCTGGTCAAGTGCCTTGAGTCTAAATTTTCTCTGACCTCCCTTTAGGAACGAGGTTTAAGAATGACCACATGAGGGATGCAACTCTTAATAAAACAAATGCCTAATGTTCCAGAAACTAAAGGAGCCACCTGGAGGAAGTGAAGGACCCTGGGACTGGCAGGCCCTAACAGCCCTCGACAATTCGTTGTCTTTCCCTTAGACTTCCCAGATTCTCTCCTCTTCGCCAGTGTGTCTGACCCTTAGTTTACTCAGATATGGTTTTGCTCCGGCCAAGGCAAGGACAAAAGTCCATTTCCCACCTTTCCTCGAGTCCATGAGTGGTGGAGCCTGGATTTTCAGTCTCAGTTTTCCCATCTGTAAAATGGAGACTGTAACCACTACTTGAGGGACTATCGTAAATATTTTTTTAAAAATTAAATGCACATGAAGAGACCTTGGACTATATACCTTATCATGTGGGTGCTCAGTAAGTGTAGCTAATTACTGGTTGAACTCATCCATTCTGGAAGTTGGCATACCTGATACAGACTCTGAGCTCCCTTTAGGCAAAAGGGTGACTAACTCCTGGGTTTGCTCAATACTGTCCCAGTTTTAGCACTGGCAATTTAGCATCCCAGGAAAGCCCTCCTCTAGACACAAAAAGTCCCAGTTTTTGGTAATGACTGTAGAAGTCTGGGGGAGAATATAAGGCTACCTGAAAAATAGGGACTAAAAGCAACAATGTTTTTTAGTGTCAAATGGATCTAGCATAGATTACCTGCCTTCTGTAGCTGTCATTGGTTATTTTTTCCCCCTTACCATTGATGTGGGCAGCCATGATTTACGGTTCACAAAAATGGAGACTTATTGTGGGTCCACCTTAAGTGTGTTGCAGCCTTGAGCACCAACAGTCTATTTTTCATTTTGCTTGTGGATTAACTATTTGAATTTGTATTGAGATAGTGCTGGTTTAATTTTTGACATTGTGAATATCATGTTTTCTAAGAGTTCAGATAATAAAAACAAGAATGTTTATCCTGCCAATGCCAATATGACTCAGACATCACTGAGAAAGGGGGCTAAAGGACGTAATTTTTTTTAATTGAAGTGCAGTTGATTTTCAATGTTGCACCAATCTGTGATGAACAGCAGAGTGATTCAGCTATGCCCATATATACATTCTTTTTCCATTATGGTTTATCCTGGGAGATTGGATGTAGTTCCCTATGATGGACAGCGGGACCTTGTTTATCCATTCTAAACGTAATGGTTTGCATCTACCAAGCTCAGAGTCCCAGTACATCCCTCCCTGGTCCTGCCTTGGCAACCACAAGTTTGAGCTCTGTCTGTGAGCCTGTTTCTGTTTTGTTGCTAAGTTCATTTGTGCCATATTTTAGATTTTAGATTCTACATATAAGTGATATCATATGCTATTTGCCTCTTTCTGACTTACTTTTTTTTAGTATTATCATCTCTAGTTGCATCCTTATTGCTGCAAATGGCATTATTTCATTCTTTCTTATGGCTGAATAGTATTCCCTTGAATATATGTACCAAATCTTCTTTATCCATTCATGTGTTGATGGACACTTAGATTTCTTCCGTGTCTTGGCTATTGTGAATAGTGCTGCTATGAACACAGGGGTGCGTGTATCTTTTTGAATTATAGTTTTGTCCGGGTATATGCCCAGGAGAGGGCTTGCTGGATCATATGGTAATTCTATTTTAAATTTTCTGAGGAACCTCCACATTGCTTTCCATAGTGGCTGCACCAAATTACATCCACACCAAAAATGTAGGAAGGTTCCCTTTTCTCCACACTCTCTCCAGCATTTGTTATTTGTAGACTTTTTATTGATGGCCATTCTGACCAATGTGAGCCTCTAAAATTCCTTTTCTATATCATAAATGCAGTCTGTAAAAGAAGCACAAAACTCTTTGACAGCACTAAAGAAGTGTCTGTTCTACTCTCAAGTGTTTTTCAAACTGTACTCATTAGTCGATATTGGGGATATATAGTGATTACTGCATGTGTGTGCTCAGTCGTGTCCAACTCTGCCACCCCCATGGACTGTAGCCCACCAGGCTCCTCTGTTCATGGGATTTCCCCAGCAAGAATTCTGGAGTGGGTTGCCATTTCCTTCTCCAGGAGAATCTTCCTGACCCAGAGATGGAACCTGCATTGACAGGTGCATTTCCTTCTCCAGGGGACCTTCCCGACCCAGGCCTCGAACCTGTGTCTCCTGCATTGGCAGGTGGATTCTTCACCACGGAGGCACCGGGGAAACCCAGTAGTGATTAGAGACCACCATTAAAATAGCTCAGGTGGAACAGAATAGAAAATATTGGAGTGCACCACATGTAATAACGATTTATAAAATTGAGTTTTAGTTACGTTTATACATATGTGTTTGTGTAAAAAGTCAGTACAAAGAATGTACATCTCACATGGGTTACAGTCAGGAAAGGAGACTCAGAAGGCCACATTGTCTCCCCAAACATCTGGACAAAACACAAGAAAGTTTATACTGTCTGCCCCACTCCCTCTTCCTCCACATTCCTCAGCCAGCACTCAGATGCTCAGTTCTCCCCATCCTCCCTAGACACAAACTGAGGTTTTCAGCCCCGCATCTAGCGTCCTTCCTGGCTTATCCATTTCTTCGTCTTCCTCGCGAGCTCTCACAAATAGGCTTTGGTTTGCTGAATTGCTAACTGACTGTCTGGCCTCAGGAAAGTGACTGCAACTGCTTAATCCTCAGTTTCCTTAGTTGAAAAAAGGTGGTAATAAATTCTCTCTGTTAGGATTGCTTGTGATGGTGAAATGAAATAACCTCTGGGAAACATCTGGAACATAAAGACTGAAAGAAATACATTCCTTTCCATCTGTCGTATCCCCACCAGACACCCCCAATTTAAGGAGACCCTCTTAAGAAGCACTGTTAAAAGAAAAAAGAAGCACTGTTGTCAGTGACGACCTCAAAGCGTTGTGCAGCAGGGAACTCCTGGGGAGACCCCAGTTTCTGTCAGTCTAATGATGACTCTTAACCAGTTTGTCTTGGAGAGTAATATTTTAGCCTGGTTCCCAGATTCTCTGAGCCCTCCTGCTGACTTCCTCCCCACCTTCGTGCCACAGGCTGCGAAGAATCCCGAGATACAAGCATTGGGCTGCTTAGGAACATTGGAGTCAAAGAGGTCCAGACACAGATAGAAGGTCACTCAGCCGTGAACACAGGGGCCAGCCCCCAACTCCAGGGCTGAGGGTTCCAGGCCCAGTCTCTCCCCAACAGGGAGCACAGATCCTTCGGTCCTGCTGGTCGGCACCACAGCCAGCCATGGATGGTCCAAGGGACACAAGGCGCTGTGTACGCATCCTTCGCGGAGAGGTGGGTGTCAGTGGCTTGCTGCAACGACTTAAGCACTGGTTAACTGTTCCTTGATGACCTGAGGTAGTCAAGGGATGCTCCTGCGTCTCCTTCCAATCGGCAGTGGGGACCGGGCCCAAACAAGGCTAAGAGATGCCAGTTAAAGTTGTCTTTCCGAGGCTTTGCAGGGGCGATAGTTTGGGCGGCCCTGCGCAGGAACCCCGCCGGGTTGCCTCGGGCTCACTGGACACCGCACTCCTTAACAGATGTGGGCGCCCTGGAGGGCATCATTCATGAAGTCAGAGACCTCATGAACAGCAGCCCTCCCATTGATAAAGCTCATAGACATTAACAAGCAAGATATACAGACCCTAAAGAATATGATTCAGGCAGCTTAGCTAAAGCACAGGTGCAGACCCAGAAAAGGGGCTTCCCTCAACACTGGCTGCTCAGCTCTGCTTCCAGGTTAGAAGCTATTTGCAGATTCTTTCCGGTGGCTCAGCGATAAAGAATCTGCCTGCAATGCAGGAGATGCAGGAGACATGGGTTTGATCCTTGGGTTGTGACGATCCCCTGGAGGAAGGCACGGCAACCCACTCCAGTATTCTTCCCTGGGAAATCCCGTGGACAGAGGAGCCTGGGGGGTTATAGTCCATGGGGTTGCAAAGAGCCGGACACAACTGAGGAGACGGAGCACACACACAGAAGCTACCTGCAGTCCCCACCCCACCCCTCCCTCAGTTCCCTGTCCTTCCCTGGGGGGCGTCAGCTGCTAGGATGAGTTTGAACTCGGAGGGGCCCTCCTGTCTGCTTCCACGCACAGCTTTCCCACGATATACTCACAGAGGGCAGTTTGGAGCCCAGTGGAGATACTTCAAGGAGTTTAGCTGTGGGCCTGGAGTTAGAAGGCCCTTAGAGACTCCTCTGCAGGATGGATGGTCTCTGGGAGAACAGCCCCCGTGGGCCCCAATGTCCTGGCAGTGACAGGACCAGAGGTAGAGGGCTGGTCACCATGAGCTGGGAGCTCAGGGAACGAGCCTGTGAGGCTGTGTGTGTGTGTCTGTGTTTTTCACTTTTCCTTACCTAACACCTTCTCCCCAGTCCTCAGAGATTTCCACCCCCACCTCAAAACCCTAAAGAGAAATTAATAATGGAATCTTAAGGTTGGAAAAGGGGAGTGAGTGATCAGAGGTGCAGGGTGTGAAAAGTGTGGAGATTTCCTTCTTTTTTTTTTTAAACCACAGAATTCCCTGTTCAGGGGACCGAGCGTTTACAGAAGAGAGAAGGGGCCAAGGCCACCCACTCAGGGCCGGTGCTGCTATGGACAGCAGGCTTCTGTCCATGGCAGAGCCTCTGGGGCTTCCCGCGGTGCAGGCCGTGAGGGGGAGGAGATACTTGGCTTCTGCTCGGGCAGCCTCTGGGCGCCCCGATGGTATGATTGCTCCACAGCCAGGGTAGGCTTCCTGTTCCTGTGAGCCAGCGGGCTCCTGGTTTCTCACTCTCAGTTCTGGGGCATGTTGGGACCAGAAGTTGAATTGGGATTTGTCTGCGTTGGAGTCCACTTGCCAGAGAGGAGCCTAATGGTCAGCCTGTAGTAACAGAATGGCTTTGGAGGTCTGAAGGTTTCCTTTGCTTCTCCCTCCAACTGAAGGGTCCTGTGGTCCAGAGGCCCGGGGGCCTGAGAGCACCCCGGCATTGGCAGGAGTCAGTAAAGGAGGGGGCAGGGGACGAGTCCTTTGGGGGCCTCAGTTTCCTCCTCTGCAAAGTGAGAGATTGAACTGGATGCCCTTTGAGGTGCCATTTAGCTCCAAAAATGGTTAATGCCTGAATAATGGTTAATTCTGAGGCTGGACCCAGCCCTGGTGTGGACCTCCTGTTAGCGTGGGTAGCTAAAAGGTGTGGGGGAGAAGTGGTTCTCAGCCCTGAACTTCATGTACTCCAGACTCAGCCCTGACCCTCCTAGACCATATCCAAGGTGGGACCCAGACCAAGGGATGTTTTAAAATGAGGCCTCCCTGGGTGGTCCCAGTGTGCAGCCAGAGCTGAGAACCACAGGGCTGGAGGACTGCCGGGAGGAGGAAGCGTGCTCACCTAGACGTCCCTGTAGACCTGCTGCCCGTACATGTCAAGTCGCGTCAGTCGTGGCCGACTCTTTTGCGACCCCACGGACTGTAGCCCTCCAGGCTCCTCTGTCCAGGGACTCTCCAGGCAAGAATACTGGAGTGGGTGGCCACGCCTTCCTCCAGGGGATCTTCCCGACCCAGGAATCGAACCTGGGTTTCTCGCATTACAGGCAGATTCTTCACCACCTGAGCCACCAGGGAAGTGCTACTCCTGGAGACAGTCCTGGAATAGAAGGCTTCAGGGAAATTCGACTGGGAAACGATACATGTTATATGCCTTTCTTGGAGGATCCTCCCACAGAGAAACTTCTTTTAATTCATTAAAGCTGAAATGTGAATTTCCCCAACTTATTCGAATATTCAGTAATTCCTGAACACTATCGTATTCCTGATCCCCCAGGGTCCATAAAATGGGAAAGCCCGGGTTAGAAATATAAACCAAATGTCTGGAATCCTCAAATGTCCTTTTTGCAGAAGTGACCACTGAACTGTGGGGCCTGTGAGGGCACTTTTGATCCCCATGAAGGGGCTGTGAGTCTCACCAGGGCTTGGTGTGTCTATTTCTAAAGCTAAGAGGGCGATACTTGCCACCTTGCCACTTTCCTTACACTGATGGTGGCAGACTTGATGTATGCTGAAGACTTGGAGCTTGGATAAAAAATATTGATAGGAGTTAAGAAAATTACTGCAAACTTAATTTTTTTTCTTTTATATTTTTTATCCCCAGTCCTTGGGGATAAAAAATATATATGATAACAATATATGTGAAATACAATACATTCTGTATAACAGTCACACCGCCAACTTCTACAGGTAACTATGGTTCTCATTTTGGTGTATTCTCTTTGCCTGCCTCTATTCTCTTTGAGTATTATTTTAAGACTTGTATACAGAGCATGCAGTTTTGCAAACTGTCTTACCTCAGTTTTTATTTAAAAAAAATGTGTTTCTGTGATGTGTGCATCTCTAAGAAGGTCTTCATCACCCTGCTTTCAATGATGCTCAGTACCGTGGTTATTATTTTTGTAATATTTATTTCTTGATTTGGCTGTATCAGGTCTTAGTTGCAGCACGTGGGATCTTTCGTTGCAGTAAGTGGGCTCCAGGGTGCGTGAGCTCAGTAGTTGCAGCATATGGGCTCAGACGTTAAAGAATCTGCCCGCAATGCAGAAGACCTGGGTTCGATCCCTGGGTCGGGAAGTTCCCCTGGAGAAGGGATAGGCTACCCACTCCAATACGCCTGGGCTTCCGTGGTGTCTCAGATGGTAAAGAATCTGTCTGCAATGCAGGAAACCTGGGTTCAATCCCTAGGTTGGGAAGATCCCCTGGAGGAGGGCATGGCAATCCACTCCAGTATTCTTGCCTGGAGAATCCCATGGACAGAGGGGCCTGGCAGGTTACAATCTGTGGGGTTGCAGAGCCGGACCTGACTGAAGCAACAGCATGCACACACGCCAATGCAGGAGACACGGGTTCGGTCCCTGGTCTGGGAGGGTCCCACGTGCCTTGGAGCAGCTATTGAGCCTGTGCTCTGGAGCTTGGGAACCACAACTACTGAGGCCATGAGCCCCAGAGCCCATGCTCCACAGCAAGAGACACCACTGCGATGTGCAGCCTGCGCACCACAACTAGAGATTAATTCCTGTTCTCCGCAACTAGGGAAAAGCCAGCGTAGCAAGAAAGACCCAGCACAGCCAAAAATAAATAAATAATTTTTTTAAAAATCTAGGTTTGGCTATTTAAAAAAAAAGAGAGAGAGAGAGATGGGAAAGATAAAAACCCAGTTCATTCTCTCTTGTACAAGCCATCTTTCAAGTTGGTGAGGAAAACTTTGTCCAGGCCTCCCTTCACATCTGTTCCTCTTCCAAACTCCTGGGGACCCTTAGGTTCCTCTGAGACCGGGTTAAGGGCAGAGAGAACTCGGGGTTTCTCTGGAGGGCAGAGCCTGGGATCCCCTTCCTCTGCCTGTTCTCAGGTCGCCTGTCCTTCACGGCACGCCCAACCCTCTTTACCTTCCTATTAGGCAGGTCCTCCAGGACAGGTCTGCAAGCTTCCCAGGTTGTGGAGGAGGCGCTTGTCTGTGTAAAATTTGCACTGAGAAGGCAGAGAATGGACGAGGACATCAGGGAGAAAGCTGAGTCCAGTCCTTTGTTACCTNCTTTGTAGTCTTTCCTTTTGTTTTTGTTTTGTTTTGTTTTGTTTTTAAAATATGGAATGCTTCACGAATTTGTGTGTCATCCTTGCGCAGGGGCCATGCTAATCTTCTCTGTATCGTTCCAATTTTAGTATATGTGCTGCCAAAGCGAGCACGCAAGGCGGATTCTTAACCACTAGACTGCCAGGCAGTTCTCAATACCATGGTTCTGATAGTCATCTCCTTGCTTGTGGACTTCAGGTTGTTTCCACTTTGGGGTTGTTTTCAATGTCCTGGGGCCGGCTTCTGATCATCCATGGAAATGGGAATCAAGCAGTCGCACAGGAACAAATTGATTCAGACTCTTCATCAAGGATTTTACTGCAGCCACCCTCGAGGGCCCGGAGTGTGGGTGTGGGAGGACTTTCCTCTTGTCTGTCTTCACTCTACTATGAGCATGTCATCAGGCAGCCATGGGGAGAAGGGCATCCCAGGGAAGCCCACACACAGCTCACTTCTCCTTGGAAGCTCCTGTCCCTAGAGGTTAAGACCTGGGAGGGAATCTCTAGGTGAAAGGGCTAAGGCTGGAGAAGGGGTGTGACCCCTCCAGGTCTCCTCGTTCATCATATCCTTGAGGCCTCTAGCGCAGCTTGGAGTGGCGGGGTTGAGGGTTGGGAGGCACGTGGTTTGAAATCAGAAAGAGGTTTGTGCCAGACTAGGCTACTGTGTGGCTTTGAGTAAGCACTCCAATGCTTTGAACCTCA